CCAATGTTGGTGGATTCTGTGGAGTTCTGGACTCCGGCTATGCGTGCAGCAATGTTACAGCACTCGTATATCACTAATTCGCAGATATCAGATTTACTACCATTGATAGCGATTTCCGAAGACTATGGGGAAGCTCGTGGGTGCGGCGTCGACTGCAAGGCAGTCAGGTTGTGGGCGCAGCGTCGGCTGCCAAGGCGGAAAACGCGTGAGCGCGACGGCAGTTGTCGCTAGTAGTAAGGATAGAGCTAACGGACTCGGACTACCCCACTGGCCTCGTGTAGAAACGATTCCAGGGGAAGCTCCAGATTAAGGCCGATCGTGTGGATGAACTGGACGCTGGCTATGCGTGCAGCAATGTTACAGCACTCGTATATCACTAATTCGCAGATATTAGATTTACTACCATTGATAGCGATTTCCGAAGACTATGGGGAAGCTCGTGGGTGCGGCGTCGACTGCAAGGCAGTCAGGTAGTGGGCGCAGCGTCGGCTGCCAAGGCGGAAAACGCGTGAGCGCGACGTCAGTTGTCGCTGGTAGTAAGGATAGAGCTAACGGTCTCGGACTACCCCACTGTCCTCGTGTAGAAACGATGCCAGGGGAAGTTCCAGATTAAGGCCGATCGTGTGGATGAACTGGACGCCGGCTATGCGTGCAGCAATGTTACAGCACTCGTATATCACTAATGCGCAGATATCAGATTTACTACCATTGATAGCGATTTCCGAAGGCTATGGGGAAGCTCGTGAGTGCGGCGTCGACTGCAAGGCGGACAGCTCGTGGGCGCGGCGTCGGCTGCCAAGGCGGAAAACGCGTGAGCGCGACGTCAGTTGTCGCTGGTAGTAAGGATAGCGCTAACCGTCTTAGACTTCTCCGTTGTCCTCGTGTAGAAACTATTCCAGGAGAAATTCCAGATTAAGGCCGGTCGTGTGGAAGACCTGGACTCCGGCTATGCGTGCAGCGATGTTACAGCACTCGTTTATCACTAATTCGCAGATATCAGATTTACTACCATCGATAGCAATTTCCGAAGGCTATGGGGAAGCTCGTGAGTGCGGCGTCGACTGCAAGGCGGTCAAGTTGTGGGCGCAACGTCGGCTGCCAAGCCGGAAAGCGCGTGAGCGCGACGTCAGTTGTCGCTGGTAGTAAGGATAGAGATAAAAGGGGGCACACATATCTCTCTGCGTGGTCCTCGCGGGAAAAAAAAGATTTCAGGGGAAGTTCCAGATTAAGGCCGATCGTGTGGATGAACTGGACGCTGGCTATGCGTGCAGCAATGTTACAGCACTCGTATATCACTAATTCGCAGATATCAGATTTACTACCATTGATAGCGATTTCCGAAGGCTATGGGGAAGCTCGTGAGTGCGGCGTCGACTGCAAGGCGGACAGCTCGTGGGCGCAGCGTCGGCTGCCAAGCCGGAAAGCGCGTGAGCGCGACGTCAGTTGTCGCTGGTAGTAAGGATAGAGCTAACGGTCTCAGACTTCTCCACTGGCTTAGTGTAGAAACTTTTCCAGGGGAAGTTCCAGATTAAGGCCAATCGTGTGGATGACCTGGACGCCGGCTATGCGTGCGGCAATGTTACATCACTCGTATATCACTAATCAGCAGATCTCAGATATACTACCATTGATAGCGATTTCCTACGGCTATGGAGAAGCTCGTGAGCGCGGCGTCGACTGCAAGGCGGTCAGGTTGTGGGCGCAGCGTCGGCTGCCAAGGCGGAAAGCGCGTGAGCGCGACGTCAGTTGTCGCTGGTAGTAAGGATAGAGCTAACGGTCTCAGACTTCTCCGTTGTCCTCGTGTAGAAACGATGCCAGGGGAAGTTCCAGATTAAGGCCGATCGTGTGGAAGACCTGGACGCCGGCTATGCGTGCAGCAATGTTACAGCACTCGTATATCCCTATTCCCAGATATCTGATTTACTACCATCGATAGCAATTTCCGAAGGCTATGGGGAAGCTCGTGGGTGCGGCGTCGACTGCATAGCAGTCAAGGTTGTGGCCGCAGCGTCGGCTGCCAAGCCGGAAAGCGCGTGAGCGCGACGTCAGTTGTCGCTGGTAGTAAGGATAGAGCTAACGGTCTCAGACTACCCCACTGTCCTCGTGTAGAAACGATTCCAGGGAAGGTTCCAGATTAAGGCCGATCGTGTGGAAGATCTGAACTCCGGCTATGCGTGCAGCAATGTTACAGCACTCGTTATCACTAATTCGCAGATGTCAGATTTACTACCATCGATAGCGATTTCCGAAGGCTATGGGGAAGCTCGTGGGTGCGGCGTCGACTGCAAGGCAGTCAGGTTGTGGGCGCAGCGTCGGCTGCCAAGGCGGAAAGCGCGTGAGCGCGACGTCAGTTATCGCTGGTAGTAAGGATAGAGCTAACGGTCTCGGACTACCCCACTGGCCTCGTGTAGAAACGATTCCAGGGGAAGTTCCAGATTAAGGCCGACCGTGTGGAAGATCCGGCTATGCGTGCAGCAATGTTACAGCACTCGTATATCACTAATTCGCAGATATCAGATTTACTACCATCGATAGCGATTTCCGAAGGCTATGGGGAAGCTCGTGGGTGCGGCGTCGACTGCAAGGCAGTCAGGTAGTGGGCGCAGCGTCGGCTGCCAAGGCGGAAAACGCGTGAGCGCGACGTCAGTTGTCGCTGGTAGTAAGGATAGAGCTAACGGTCTCGGACTACCCCACTGGCCTCGTGTAGAAACGATTCCAGGGGAAGTTCCAGATTAAGGCCGACCGTGTGGAAGATCCGGCTATGCGTGCAGCAATGTTACAGCACTCGTATATCACTAATTCGCAGATATCAGATTTACTACCATCGATAGCGATTTCCGAAGGCTATGGGGAAGCTCGTGGGTGCGGCGTCGACTGCAAGGCAGTCAGGTTGTGGGCGCAGCGTCGGCTGCCAAGGCGGAAAAGCGCGTGAGCGCGACGTCAGTTGTCGCTGGTAGTAAGGATAGAGCTAACGGTCTCGGACTACCCCCCTGGCCTAGTGTAGAAACGATTCCAGGGGAAGTTCCAGATTAAGGCCGACCGTGTGGAAGATCCGTCTATGCGTGCAGCCATGTTTACAGCACTCGTATATCACTAAATCGCAGATATCAGATTTACTACCATTGATAGCGATTTCCGAAGGCTATGGGGAAGCTCGTGGCTGCGGCGTCGACTGCAAGGCAGTCAGGTTGTGGGCGCAGCGTCGGCTGCAAAGGCGGAAAACGCGTGAGCGCGACGTCAGTTGTCGCTGGTAGTAAGGATAGAGCTAACGGTCTCGGACTACCCCACTGTCCTCGTGTATAAACTATTCCAGGGGAAGCTCCAGATTAAGGCCGATCGTGTGGATGAACTGGACGCCGGCTATGCGTGCAGCAATGTTACAGCACTCGTATATCACTAATTCGCAGATATCCGATTTACTACCATTGATAGCGATTTCCGAAGGCTATGGGGAAGCTCGTGGCTGCGGCGTCGACTGCAAGGCAGTCAGGTTGTGGGCGCAGCGTCGGCTGCCAAGGCAGAAAGCGCGTGAGCGCGACGTCAGTTGTCGCTGGTAGTAAGGATAGAGCTAACGGTCTCGGACTACCCCACTGTCCTCGTGTAGAAACGATTCCAGGGGAAGCTCCAGATTAAGGCCGATCGTGTGGAAGATCCGGCTATGCGTGCAGCAATGTTACAGCACTCGTATATCACTAATTCGCAGATATCATATTTACTACCATCGATAGCGATTTCCGAAGGCTATGGGGAAGCTCGTGGGTGCGGCGTCGACTGCAAGGCAGTCAGGTAGTGGGCGCAGCGTCGGCTGCCAAGGCGGAAAACGCGTGAGCGCGACGTCAGTTGTCGCTGGTAGTAAGGATAGAGCTAACGGACTCGGACTACCCCACTGGCCTCGTGTAGAAACTATGCCAGGGGAAGCTCCAGATTAAGGCCGACCGTGTGGAAGATCCGGCTATGCGTGCAGCAATGTTACAGCACTCGTATATCACTAATTCGCAGATATCAGATTTACTACCATTGATAGCGATTTCCTACGGCTATGGGGAAGCTCGTGAGTGCGGCGTCGACTGCAAGGCGGACAGCTCGTGGGCGCAGCGTCGGCTGCCAAGGCAGAAAGCGCGTGAGCGCGACGTCAGTTGTCGCTGGTAGTAAGGATAGAGCTAATGGTCTCGGACTACCCCATTGGCCTAGTGTAGAAACTATTCCAGGGGAAGTTCCAGATTAAGGCCGATCGTGTGGAAGATCCGGCTATGCGTGCAGCAATGTTACAGCACTCGTATATCACTAATTCGCAGATATCCGATTTACTACCATCGATAGCGATTTCCGAAGGCTATGGGGAAGCTCGTGGCTGCGGCGTCGACCGCAAGGCAGTCAGGTTGTGGGCGCAGCGTCGGCTGCCAAGGCAGAAAGCGCGTGAGCGCG